AAGCTGCTTTGAAGCATGAATACTCATGGAAAAGAAAACATTTTTCTAAAATATTGTTAGATAACTGAGACATTGCGATACTTTTCAGGAAAATTGATAGTCCTTTAAAGTGAAATATACAGATAAAACAATGATACAGTGTAACAGTGCAATATACAGATGATGTATTATAGAAATGTACACTTGAAACCTATATAATTTTGTTAACCAAAGTCACCCCAATAAATTTAATTTAGATTTTTTTTTTAAATTATCAGAACTTTTATGAGTGTAACTCACCAAAATGTCTCAAAGGCTACACATTTGTATAAGGGTTAACCTTGAAATTCTCCTTTTGTATCTGCAATTAGTGTCAATCTATGAACAATATCAAATAATCTGCTGCTCTGTAGCCCCATCAAAGCTTTTGTCAAGCACCTTCTTCACTACATTTGGTTTGGATTTAGTTTCAGCAACAAATCCATCCTTAATGATAAACATGTGCCAACAATAAGACTGGTCTTATGACTGCATGCAAATTCCAAGGAGATTTGACTTGCACAAAGACAACATTACTGAAATAAGCAAATAACTTCCTAAAGTATCTACCTTTTAGAAGAAGGTTTATTCTGAAATATTTTCTGGTGGGAAAAAAATATTGATTATATCATTTCCTGCTCTCATCATCCCTTTAAGTGAGCAAAGGTTAGAAGTACAAGGAAGCAGTATGGCATCATAGCTAAGGGCATCAACTGGAAACAAACAAATCTGGTTTCATGTCCTTTGTCTGGCCTTTATGAACTATGTGATCCAGGGCTGATAATATCACCTCTCTAAGCTTTAGTTTCTTAAATCTATAAAATGGGGAGAATAGTAGTATCTGTCTGAAAAGTTGTTGTTTTGATAAGAAGAAATGAAGTTTATAAAGCACTTAATACAATTAATTAAAGCAGTTAATACAACACTGACAAATAGTGACCATTAAATGTTAGGCACTTTGAACTTATTTGTTTCAACTCACATTCTATCTGATAGTATCATTTTTGCACATATACTACAAATATCATTGCATTACAAATACATCATTGAAATAGAAATATTTAACTACAAATTTAGTTTTAAAAAATCATCTACAGGAAACCAGACATCTTTGGTCTGGATTCTTGATTCAGTGAACTAGTATACACTGGTAAAACAAACCAGTTTTAATCACTGACTTAAATTTAAGTTTTATTACATTTTACTTTTAATTCTCCATATTCCAAAATAATTTAGAGACTTCATCCCAAATAATACAAGTTAATTCTTTTTCTTCCTAGTAAATTAGAATATGGATATAATTATATATCTCCTTATTTTTAAATCTAGTATATATTGAAAGCATATAAATGTATGCAGGATCTTGCCTTCTTGAAAAATTAAAATTTTATATTATTTTGCATGGTTTAAAATTTTAGGTTACATATAAAATATTTTTAAAATAATTGTGTAAGTTCTCAGCTAAATTAAAACCATGATTTGGAAAATTACCTAGAGAGACAGAGGAAACACGGTACATTTTGCAGTGTGGTAGCTTTCTTCTCTCCTTTCTAGACTCCTTTGTCTTACTTAACTTTGTGTTCATAATGAGGAGAGCTGGTGTGAATACCAGATATAGGAATCATACACATTCCAAGTGGGACTTTATTAAAACCAAAAATGCAAAATGTCGATGGCTTCTGTGTTTCAAGAAGTGGCAAATAGTCCCTAGACATAGCTGTAATGTCGATCATGTGTCCAACAGAGAACTACTTCTAGGTCCTTCTTGCACAGAATGCTCTGTTAGGTATTCCACGGGCTCCCCATCGCCCAGCACCGTTGCCATAGATGGCCATCAGACATTTGGAATGACATCAGGAGATAATCTGAGCAGACTCTGCCCTAAAGAATTCAAGTTAGCAGGAGACTGAAGATATCAATGTCTTCTTGGCTGACAACAGCATTCCAAAGGTCAACCAGGGTGAAAAGAGGATGGACTTGGGAGTTTCCAGTGCCTTTTCCACAACCAAGCAGCTAACAAGTATAAGGAAGCATCCCTCAAGAAAAAAACAAATAATAGAAAATAAAGACAAAGGAAGCCTGAAAGTATCCTGAAGGCACCATGCGTCTGAAAGGGAAATAAGGCAACCTCTACCTATTAGGTCAGGGAATTTTAGGATTGAAGAGATCTCTACCTCTTAAAGGTAAAACTCACAAACAGTTCTCATCCAGAACCACTTCTTCAACTTCTGCTGTTGTGACAGCCCCAGTATGGGCACATATGTGACTTAATAATATCGAAGTAGAATCTCTTTGCAGGAGAATAAGAATGGCTTTTACTGCAGTTGGCCACTTTCCCAGCCCTGTGCTTTACACTGAATAGCTTGTTTAATCTTCATAACAAAGGTTTGAGGGTAGCACTTTATGATCCACATTTTATAGATGAGGAAACTGAGGCAAAGGAAGGGTCAGTGACTTGTGCATAATCACACAGTTACCATGTGTTAGAGACAAATGGTTTTTGGCCACATATCCTCTTCTTAGTGAGACCAGCCTTTTCAGCGGTCAGCCATAGACAGCCTGAGGCCTTCTAGTACACATGCCTTGAAGAATTAAAAGGTTTTTCTCTTAGGTTATTAGATTTCAGGGAGAATGGGAAGAACCCTTTATATCTTGAACCATATGCAAATGGTAAATTAATAAGAGAAGTAAAGACAATAATTTAAATATGCATCAGTTCAGGAGAGGTGCAAGCTTTAAAAAACATTTTATTGTTGTTTTAAAGTGATTTATTATTCATGAGCCCTTCTATCTGAACATTTAGGGGTCCTCCACTAAGGGTTAACTTACAAACTAGTTACCACAAACGGTCAGAATTAATACCAACATTTCACCCCCAAATAATATGAAGAAATATAGGGGATGATCATGGCAAAAACCAACCACCCAAACAAGCAAAACATTGAAGTTAGAAAGTTAATGCTTTGTCTCTAGTCTCAGGTAGTATAATTTGTACATAAGTTTTGTTCATGTTATTAACATTTCTACTCAATTTCCACCCTAGTAATATCAGTCAAAGTCATAATCAATGTATCTGATGTCTTCATAGAATGTGAAGATTATGCTTTGCTGACAATCCTCACCTATTTAACACCTTACCTCGCTGACCTTAAGAGTGCTTTTTAGCTCTTTAAAAGAGTGATTCCATTTCCTCGGGATTTTTAAAGTATAAGTAAGCGCAATGTTATCCCAATTCATCTCTTTAAAAAGGCACTATTTGAATCTATGACACTACCAATAATACATTTTTAGTTTGGCAGACAGTATGATTCCCTATACACCTGATTCTTTATTAAATGGAATTTCTTCTTAGAGGAATGCTTAGAAGTATTTTCCCTTGTGAAAGGGTACTCCTGTCTAAAATCTCCTGTCAGGTCACCTTTCTGTAAAGTTAATTTGCCCAGCCAACCCTAGGCGAGAGGGGGCTGGCAGAAAGTGCACTGGTCTGGCACAAAGTGTACTAGACCCTGTCAGGTGGCCATAATTATCTTCCTTACAAATTTATGGCATGATTTGGGGGTGCATCTCTTATCTGCCCTGGGCCCAACTTCCCTTCCCTGTAAAAAATTAGGTGCTTCTGTTAAGTGTTTCCTAGTATTTCTTTCCGTAGGGAGACACTGAAATTCTGACTTTAAAACTTTTCACACTAGTGCCAAGAAAAGCAAACGCCCAGGGTGTGCTGAAACTGAGCTGGTATCACAAAACGGGTTATTTTTCTCTCTTTTTTTAACCAGCATTCATTCTATTCCAATAGAACTTTATGCAAAGATGGAAACGTTCACCATCTCCCAAATAAGGTAGCCACCACTGGCCTTGACTATTGAACACCTGAAATGTGTCTAGTGTTAACTGAGGAACTGAATTTTAAATTGTATTTAATTTTAATTAACTTAAACTTAAAAAGCCACATGCGGCTTCTTGCTGTCACATGGGTAGCAGCTTATAGCTTTGAGAACATGACAATATCAACATTTTACACCTTTGATTTATTCAGCAGAGTGCTCTAGAATGCCTTTGGAGCACTGATCTTTCCACCACATTTGGTGCCCTTGGTACATACAGCTCCACACACAGATCAAAGAACAAGCACATGCATTTGCATTACGTGATGGCCTGTTTGCAAGAGACCCCGATACCGTTCTAGCGTGCTAACAAATAAAGAGGGATGAAAGGGGAAAGAAAGTTTGGGGGGAGTTATGTGTTTTCTCCCTAGGATCCCATTTCTCGTTGTTTGTGGCCTTTTCTTAGCCAAGACGCGCACATCCACCGAGGCAGCGTAACTAGTAGAACCAGGGTTTGGCTGTTAGCTTTTTAAATAACCCTATATAGAGCCTGAAACCTTGGGCTATAAAATCTAGCTCCAGGACGCAGCCCTTTCTTATTAGTCTGCCAGGTGAAAAAAACAGGCTGGATGGTGTAGGACTGGGGCGGCAGCCCGACCTGAGCGCGCCACTCTCCCTCTCCCGGGCTTGCAAAATGCTCGGAGCGCTCCGAGAAGCTTGTGCCGCCGGACCCGAACCGCGTGCCAGAGCTTTGTGCACGGTGCGTGGGTGAGTTCACTATGTGCCTCGCTCGGAGCTCATTCCCAGCTCTTTGGGGTCTTCTCTCGCCAACCTAGGGGAAATATCCCCAAGATCCTCCAACCAGACCAGCAGGGCAAACCCCCCGCCACCGCCGCCGCCACCGCCCGTTTCCAAAGCCCAACCACCAGCGTTGCGCCCTCCTCCATGCCCCAAAGCCCACCATGCGGCCTCTTTGCCAAGCCACCGGCCGCTTTTCCCCAAGCCGTGAAATCCTGCCTCTAGACACAACCTGGCACAGCCGCCGCAAAGACTGCACGCCACCACCCGCCCGGCTTCTGCGCACCCAGGCCCAGCAGGTCCCCAGAAGGGCCCCAAGCCCGCCTCCTCCTCGCCCGTGGCGCACGCACGTGGCGCACTCACCCCCTACTAGCTGCCTCGGAGCTCTAGAAACGCTCCCTTGAGGGAGCCCCCGCCCCCTCAGCTCTGTCCGCGCGGAGAAAAGTGGGTGAGGGGAAGCGGAGCGATGTAGAGAAAGGAGTAGAGAGGTGGTGAGAGCAGTGTTGAGGGGAGGACCGGCAATAATTGAATGGCGTTGCGGCTGTTGCGCCTCTGCTGAACGCCCAGCCAGTGCGGATTCACTTTCCACACAAATCATCCAGAGGGATTGTTGCTGCCTGCAATCAATAACAGCGGAGTGAGCTGCTGAAACCAGAGGCGTCCCCCGTCTGGGTCTTTAAGGGGCCGTCCCGACTGAATCCCAGCCCTCTGCTTTCCAGACAAAGAAGTGGGCACCAAAACGCAGGAAGAGATTTTTAACCCATACCCCCACCCCGATCCCGGGCAAAGATCTTTAAAAATTAAAGGACACACACGTAGATAAGTGTCTAGAGGAAATAGTTAAAAGGGGAAGTGTGAAAATCCGTTCTGTGAATTGAAGGTTTCTGTGATATTTCCAGAAATGGGATAGAATCAATGTTCCAATGAACATTTAACAATTTAGTAAGTAAAGGTAAAGTCCATTAAATTTAGCCATGCATATGGATACTTTTTATCGCAAGCAAGTTACTGATCCAGCCTTATTTGGGCATGGTGATGCAGGATAAGGAAGAAATGTATTGTAATTTGTGGTGGCATTTTTAAAAGCCTTAACATATCTTTCAGACATTGTTTCATAACGATTGCATTTCTATAAGGTGAAAAGGCCCTGGGAGATGTGTGTTATGATCCCCACTTAATAGACTGTAAAAACCAAGCAGAGCTGGGAGAAAGGGAATTTACCAGGTCACCTGGTACTGACTACCAGTCACCACGTAGAGAGTAGCTCACTGTGGGCCTTAGCCTAAAAGACTAAACTCAGCTAACACCCCTAAATAAAAGTGGCCAAAATTCTTCATTTCTCCTTGGCTCAAAAGCAAGTTAAAAATAAGTCTTCAAGATGTCAAACCAAATATAGAGATTTCATAAATCTTAATGACTCTTCACTATGAAAAAAGTCTTACTAGTACAAATGGGAGAAGGGATATTGACCCTCACCATCTGATATGTCTCAAGGTTGGGTGGACTAGACCCATTGTGAAGCCAAGGAAAAAGTTCATTTGTGTCCTCAAAGTCACAGAAAAGTAATTTCGAACAGATTAGAACACAGGGCATTTGTCTGTGCTCAGTACAGTTAAACAGTGCTTGGAAGGATAAGGTATTACTGGATAAGAGCACTTATTACGGATACTGAATCCACATCACTAATCCCAAACTATTTTAAATTTCCCTTTAGGCAATGTATAAACCATGCTGCCCTTTCCACAACTTCAGTTGAAACTTCAGTATCCCAACCTGACAAATTTTGTTAGCTTGGGATAACATGGATTTGACTTTCTTCCTTGTAATTCTTCATCAGATACAAAATTAAAGGTACAAAAATTAATATAAATATAGGCTATTTGGATATGAGATAAAGGATATGATTAAACCTTGGCTTGCAATAACAAATCCTTTGTATGTTGCAGATTCTCAATCACAAGTAGTCTATATGGTGTATGCTATGCATGTGCTATAGCTGTACCTAATAAATTTTTAAAATTTAGATATTTGGTACTAGTTATATTAAAGGTTATAAGTGTCATCACAGTTATTGATGATTTTAATTATATTCAATCCACATTCATTTGGTTTAATACTAGAGTTAGCATCAATGATACTTTAGATTCACAATTTTAGAAATAAATTTATTTGTACTTTAATAATCATTCTAAAAACATTAATTAAAACTATATACCTTGTTGTACTTACACATTTTAAGGTGCCCAAGAAGAGTTGCAAACTGAAGTAACTTCTATGAAGAGATGAAGTAAAGAATGGAAGGCAAATGACTGTATGTGTATGTGGTGAGTGCTTAACATTTGTTACATCTACCACAAAGTTGATTCATACAGGTAAAACTGCCAAACTCCTTGTCATTAGGTACTTATGATATAGACATGTATAAAAGTGATAGTTATATAACCATTACATGCTTTATATTATAAGCAAAATCATATCATTTTGTTTAAAGCTGCTGTCATCTTTCAGGGCCTATCTTTGTAAGTCTCTTTTACAATGAATCCACTTTAGGGGAAGTTATGTGTCATCTCTACTGTAGCTATTGAAAAATAACATTAAATGCGCTTGGAATTTGCATCTTAACTACATTTTACATTTTTCTGAACTTCTGTGTTCAGTTATCATGTTTGTGTTGAGAGTACTCTGTCTGAAGAACAAATACTATACAGTTGAGTAATCTCGAGGGGTAGATTAATCTATAGACTTTCTTCATTTTAGGGTGGGTTGCCGTGGTAACCACCCCAGCTTACTTTAAAATAATTTCTTAAAGCTACACCCAGTGTGGGCCAAGCTTAAAAGCAGGCAGACCCAGTGCAGTGTTTTAGTAGACTGCTGATTTAATGTAAGGAAGTAGTAAAGAGAGGAGGGTAGTGTAAAATGGCATGCAACCCTGAACAGAAATTAGAAATTAGCTTTCCCTAGAGTTAAAATCCTGAGGATCATGCTCTCTGTAACTTCTGTAGCACTTTAAATATGTTGGTAAACAATTCTTTTAGGGAAAAAACAAGTTAATGTATATTTACATCTATAATAAAGCACATAATTATTTAATGAAGGAAATATTTGGTGATGGGGGAGGGGGGGAAGCTAGTTTAAATAGTACATCAATCCCAGACATCATTTTGTCTTCAAGGAAGTGTCACCTTTTACTTAACATGCTAGGCCACAAGCTTCCAATTGGCTTAAAGGGTATAAGAATTTTCTACTTTCCAATCATAAAACTGGAATACACTGGAGACTTCATTGAACACATAAGCAAACTGAAGCCCAGAAAAGACACACTCATTAGTTAGGCACAAATCTCGAACCAGAGACTCCAAGCCTCCTAACACCTAGTACCAGCTCCTCCCTGCACCAGAAAATATTGTGATCCTAGCCAAGTACTATTAAGTGGCAAGGATAAGGGGATTTTAGTTTAAAGGAGTAAAAAAAAAAAAAAAGTCCATAAGTATTTAAAGAAGGATACAAAGCATATTTTGGATTAACCACTTTGTGGATTTCCAATGAATAATTTTAAATCTCAGGTGACTTTCTATTGTACATGTCTGTGCAACCTCTTCTATTCTACTTCAACTATAAAAGTTCTAAGGAAAGAAACTAATGCTAATATTAACTTAGGGTCACACATAATTAAGATGGTAAATCTGCTGAAGGAAATATTTTGTATTTTAAAAGGCCAATTGTGATACATTCCAGGTCTAAATTAGTTTCAAATTATCCGGTGTGAGGTTATACTTTTGAATGCTTGTACTACCATTGATAATTATGGGTTTGTTATAATATTTATTACTAAATGATTCTTAAAAATGTTAAAAGATAAGTTTCTTTTTGAAGAAAAATATAAAACTGAAGTATACTGTGATAAATACTCTCTATATCCATCTAAAATAGTGTGGTTCAAAGTCAGGTATTGCCTATGTCTATTTGCACATGTCAACTAGGCTGTTAGAATTCATTACATTAATTTGAGGCATTGTGGAAATAAACGTAGATGTTCCTGCAAATGGTCTGCTTTGGTAGGAGATTTGTGAATCTGGAAAAAATGAAATTTCATTTTTACCACCATATATAGACACATGTTGGTATTCAAAATGTCTATGCATCTTTAAATTTTTGGACTTTTTTAGAAGTTGTACCTTAAATGAAAACCTAATACAGATTATCTCTGCCATATTAGTAAAATGAATTCATGGTAGTAGCAAACTCACCAGATGAAAAACAAACAAGCAAACAAATAAATTGTAGATATTAATCTGCAATAAATACTATTTCAGATGGTTCTTGCTTTGCCATGCTTTCCTATAATAAAAGCAAGAGTTTCATTTTAGTTGTGCTGATAGTCACAATGTGATAAGCCAGAAGCCTGAAGATTGTTCAGATCTAGTTGTACTGGCCTTACCCTTTCAAGTGAAGCCTTGGGGCAAATGCCTAAATGTTGAGCCTACTCTTCTGAAAAAAGCTCCTCACTTCAATAGCCCCTGCAATGAAGCAGGAGGCTTTTTGAATCACACTGGCCTCCGCATTAAAATAGTCTAGAGGAACAGGCAGAACTTAACAGGAAATGCAACTAGTCATTGGGTTAAACACAGTGCTGAAAGGAATTTTTTTAAGTGACAAAATATCTTTAATTAGCTAGATATTTCAGTACACTCCTATTGTCTACTCTTGTACATTCCATGTTTTTATTCCCCCAATGTGTTTTCTGTTCTTCCTTTTACAATATTGAAATTTTAAAACTTGGTTTAAATATTTTATATAATCTACAGTTCTGGCATGCAACCGTGTCTTTTCATGGTTTGTGTACTAATTGGGGTATATTATCTTTGGTTTTATTGGGTGTGGAGTAACTTGGCTAGAGAAGGGAGGTGCCCACTCCCTAGTAGCCTTTCCAGTATCTTTAATATTAACTTATTTTTTAAACTTTAACATGAGTACTATCTTCCTTATCAGTCTCGATTTCTGCTTCCTGTGCAGCTGAAACTCTTCAGGATAACTGAAGTCATCCGCTATAGGCTAGGGAAGCCTAATGCATTTGGGAAGTTGTTTTGGTTTACATGTTAATGCCCTGGATAAAATCCAGTAAGGTGTAGAAGAGATAGAGTAAGAGGAGGGAGGGGAAAATCTCCGAGGAAGCTGCCGCCTTACTAAATATCACCAAACTGATTAGAAAGTTCATGGCCCCGCGAAGAAGTCGAGATTTCAAGTACTGGTAATTCTTTTATTGCTAAAATTTGAGAACCATTTAGCCTCGCTTTCTAGTCCTCCGACCTCTCAGGGCCGAAAACCGCGTATTCTGGGAGTTCAGGAAAAGCGCGCTGGAATCGGGTGCTGCAGACATCCTGGACGGTGGCTTTTACGCGTAAGTAATTGAGGAGCGCTCGGACGGGTGGAAGAATGAAGTGGTTAACGCGTCTCCAAACAGGAGAAAAGTCACAAGAGCAACTATTAGGGTCGCGCTCCTAT